AGTTATATGATTTTAGAATGTGGGGGTGGAGGAGGGGCTTCCTCTCCTGCCATGGAACGGTCCAGATTGAGCAGTTCAATGTCAAGTGTCCAGACCAAGAGTCTGGAGATCTGGCTCTGATGCTAAATGTGCTCTTAGTAAGTCTTCATCACAAACCTCAGATTCTGCACCTGCAAGGAGGGTGCAGTGCTGGGTGGTCCCTACTGGTCCAGGCAGAGTTGTCCATATATGACCAAAACAATGAGACTCCTCCACCTTGGGATGAGATCATAAATGTTATTTTCCCAGCCCTCAAAATGAAATGCTCCTTCAAATGGCTTACACATGTATTTAAATAATTTTTGATATGCAATAGGTTCTCATAGCTCACAGTGTAAATTTTTTTTAATACAAAAAGACATGCAGTGAAAGGTCTTCTTCAAATCCCTATCAACAACCCACCTTGGTCTACTCACCTCCAGCTGAACAGCCCACCTACAATTTTAAACAGAAGCGATGATGATGGAGCCTTCTTTCTGGCTTTAGTAGGAATAGAACTTCTTCTTTTTCTTTTCTTTTTTAACTGTCAATCTCACTTGTGTGTGAGGAATAGGACTTCTTAAGTCCCTGCCCAAAACCTAATGCTGGCTTTTGAGTGGAATATTGTATCATGCCAAGGAAACATTCATATTAATATAGTTCTATTTTATTGAATTTTTTAAAAATCAAGAATGGATGTTGAATTTTTGGATATGATTGTGTGTTTCCTTAGAAGACCTATTACTATGATGTAACATATTAATAGATTTTCTAATATTGAACTATCTTTGCATTCCTAGTATAAAGTCTGCTTGGTCAGGCCTTAATGTTCTTTTTAATTATTATAATGGAATATTATAATAGATATAAAATATAATAGATATAATAATATAATAACATAATTATTATTCTAATTTTTGATGTTATGTTGAATTCTCTTTGCTGATGTTTTAAGAGTTTTACTCTAACATCCATCAGTGAGATTGGTCTATGGTAAAATGTTTCTAACAGAGGTCTCTAGAGGAAGTGCTTGTATTATCCACACACTTTTGGGAAATCATTAAATTCTGAAAAAAAATTGGGAAGTAGAATTGCATAAATAAACTCAACATACACATATTGCTTGAATTGGAAAAACTGGCCATTTTCTTCCATTGTTTTGGACAGCATTTAAGCATGATATCATATTTTTTGCCAGTACTTACAGGAGTCCCATTGGAATCAGTGGGAATTTCATATAAAATGTAATTGGAGAAAAACAATTTGTGCATAGAATTGGAATCTGAAAAGAACCAGAAGTGGAAATATGTCTCACAGAAATTATTTTGTTGGCAGGAGGCAAAAAAAAAAAAAAGAATCATTCCAATGAGATGAGGCATCTAAGAGCTAGTTAAGCCCCACCATTCTCAGTCAAGGCCTACCATGTTTTATTTCTCAGAAAACTTTGTCTTCATCATCATCATCAACATCATCTTCACGTATTAGCAACTACCATTAATTCAGCGCTTGCTCTGTGCCAGAAACCAGGGTGGGCATTTTATAGACATTGCATGATTTAATTCTCAGAACCACTTTGTAAGGAGATGTCACTATCTCCATTTTACAGATGAGCAGACTGAGGCTAAAAGAAACTAAATAGATGTCCTGAGATCATACAGCCAGTAAGTGGCGGAGCTGGGATTCAAATCAAGGGGTCTTTGAGGCCAAAGCCCATGTCTTTAACTTCTCGAGCCACCAGTTTTGGGAATGGGCAGCAAGGCAGGCCCAGTGCTGAGAGATTTCATGCCTCATTGTCTAACCGAACTGGCACAGCCACTCCATTTTATAGATGAGCAAACTGGGGCTTAGAGACAGGAGATAACTTATCTGTAGTTGTGCAGCTGGTGCATGAAGGTGTGGAATTTGAGCCCAAGACCACTGAGCTCCACACATTCTCCATTACCTGGGGCCCTCCTCTTCTCATCTTTCACACACAAGGGTCAAACTCAACAACACTGGATGTGACCATTGTATCAAAGAGGTATAATAATAGAATATCTTATATAATCCATTTTGTGGCCATTTTTTCCAGTGAAGAGCCCAAAGGGAAACTGTTAATACTTTTCGGCACAGGCATTTGTATAAATTGGTGTTTTGTGTGTCAATATGCACAGCTTACCTACTGCTGCCAAAAGATAAACATTGAATGAATGAATGAATGAATGAAGAGTTTAATTTAAATAATCATATTCATCATAGACAAGAATGGGAGTAATGCCCATGGTGTAGGGTCTTAATGATCATGTCCAGATCCTGCAGGAGGGAACCCTAGGGCCAAAGGGAGCAGAGAGACCCAGGACAGCCCCAAAGCCAGGGCAGAGAACTAATGCCCCTCCCAGAGCTGATTCAGACAGCGTGTGAGAACACAGATGCATGAGTCCTTGTGCAGAGGACTCAAAAAAAGAAAAAAAAGATATTTGGTGTGAGCTGTGAGCTGTTCTAGGAGGAAATATCTTTGGGGTTTGGGGGGCAGGGGCACCCACACCTACATTTTGTCACTGGCTAGTCAGAAATCCATGTAGGTACTAATCCTGTCATTTTGGAACAATTCAGTAGTGGGGAAGAGACAGCAGCAGAGAAAGAAGAAGAAGGGGCTCTTTGGGGGAAGTCCACTGGTGGGAACTGCCGGGTGGTGACCGTGGCCTGGACACCTTGAGAACAAGGCTGTCTAAAGGCCAGTCTTGCATTGTCCCAGCGGAGCGACCTCCTTCTCTAGCCATCACCCCAGTCCTTTAGGTCTGCTCCTTGGGCTGCCTGTGTGAGCCGTGGTTAGGGGGATTTCTGGTTCATAAGAGGGGGGTCCTGGCTCATGTCTGTGTCCGCTTAAGAGAAGGGGTGGCTGCAGAAGTGAGACACCGAACCATCCTCACTGAACACGTTACAACTTCACACACTTTTGCCCAATAAGTAGATTAAACCCAAAGCCATCAAGCCATATTTTACTTTTGAATTGTTCCAAAATGACAGGGTTGGCACCTACACAGATGGGATGCTGGTTAGTTTGTGGCATAAATATGCGCAGCATGAGATCATTTTAATCCTGACTACTTCCACTAGAATTGCAAATACTCACAGAGTATGTATGACGGAACCAGGCATCTCGTGGGTGTCAAGGAAATAAAGATGAACCCCTGCCCTGGACATGCTCACTGTTGTGTGGAGAGACAGATCTGGAAACAGACCATGATGGTGTGGTGTGTTAAGTACAATAATATAGGGTAGGTTGTTCAAGAAGCTGTGAGACTGTGCAGGACACAGGGATACCCTCCCGGGGAGCGAGACAGCCTCAGAGAGCAGATGATATTTGAGCTGAGTCTTGAAGAATAGGTAGGAGTTTGCTGGCAACAAAGGAACTTACATCTATCAGGCAATTTCCATATGCAATCTTATTTAATTCTCAGGAAAATCCAGCATGGTTATTTTGCACATTTTACTATTACGGTTACTAAGGTTCAGAAAAGCTAAGAGACTTACCTAAGGTCATAGAGATGTTAGGGCTGGGTTTCAACACATGATCACTTTTACTCTCTACTTTCTGCAAGACACCACACCACCATAAGAACCTGATAGGCCAGTGTTTGCAAAGACAGCAAGCAGTGTAAGATCATGCCATGCTTGGGGCCAGCTGGGAAATGGTTCTTTTCATATTATGTCATGTGTATAAAGGGACTGAAGACAGTGCATGTAAGTGGTGGCAATGATTGTAGGCTTTGCAGGAGATAAATTGACAGCATTTTTTCCTTTCTTTTTCAACATTACAAGACTGTTACTCCATTGTCCCCCTGGCTGCCACTGTTTCTGACAAAAAGTCACCTGTAATTCTTATTTGTTATTGCCCAGAATATGGTTTGTTTTCTATGGCTGCTTTCAAGACCTTTTTATAATCTTTGGTATTCAGCAGGTGTGGTAGGTAGCCTCTGAGATGCCCCCATTCTTGGGATTCTATCTCTCCCTGAGTGTGGGCTGGACATACAGACAACAGAAGACAAAATGTCACTCTGGCATTGAGTTACAAAAAGACTGTGGCTTCCATCTCAGGTGGTTTCTCTTGCTCTCCCACTCACCTGCTCTGAGGGAGGTCAGCTGCTGTGCAAGTTATCCTGAGTAGGGCTCATGCAGTGAGCAACTCAGGGAGGCCAACAACTGGTAAGGAAATATGGTCTGTGAACAGCTATATGAGTGAGCCTGGACATAGACTCTCTGCCCCTATCAAGCCTTCAAATGAGACCATGGCCACAGCCCCACAGATTGCCTGCAGCCTTGGGAGAGGCCTTGAGCCACAAGCACCCAGTTAAGCTGAGCTAGATTCCTGCCCCACAGAAACTATGACATAATAAATGTTAGTTGCCATAAGCCTCTAGGTATCCAGGGGGTGTTAGTTTGTTAAGCAGCAGTAGACAACGAATGCAGCAGCCTTGTGAGCTTTTGTTGCAGTGGTGAACTGACATCACATCCTACACTGGGCCCAGAATCTCCCATGGGTGCCCAGTTGCCATAGATGAATCTTTGCTCCCTTTAGGCCCCACAGACTGCATCAAAGGTGTCATGGAAATGAACCTTACTTTGGCATATAAATAGCTCATGATTATGTTTTTCCGATAAGAGATACGTTACTGGAAGAGTCTGTTAGTCTCCATCAACTACTCCTTCACAGTATCCAACTAGGTCAGGAGTTTCCACAAAGAGGGTTGGTTCAACTCTTGGATCAATAAATTCTAATTTGTTTTTCCATAGGATGAAAACTCTCTTTACATCCGAAGGGCTGTGATGGTAAAGAGGGATTTGAATTATTTTCTGAGGTCCCAAGAGATCAGAAAATTTCAGTTTCATAAAGGGAAAAACATTCTGCTGATCAGAGCTGTCCTACTATGCCTGGACTCATTTACTGGGTAGTGAGCACCTTGCCTGGATCAGGAATGTTGATTGAGAAGTTTCCAAGTACACATTTATGAACCAGACTGTTTATTAATTTAACAAATATTAATTCTACATGCTTCAGTTAAGAATCCTGTAAGTAAGTGTAGATTTGACTAACAGTGGTTTAAACAAAAGAGGATTTGCTTTTCCTGCCTAATAGAGAATTTGAGGTTGGTGATTGCTGGTCTTGTTTCAGTGGCTCAGTTGTGCAAGTTTTAGAATCTCTGATTCTCTTGTCCTTTCCTTATGGTTGCAAGATGGTCACTATGGCTCCAGACATCACGTGCCAGTTAAGGGTAATAATCCCTGCTGCTGAGAAAAAGACAGTATCAGATGTGCCTATTCCTTTTCTTTTTTTTTTCCTTTTATTTTATCATATTCTGGGGGTATAAATATTGTTAGGGTTACATATATTGCCCCTGCCATTCCTCCCCCCGCCCCCTGCCTTGCCAAAACATCAAGCGTGTCCAACCCCTAGGTGGTGCATCGCACCTATTTTGTAAGTATATATCCTTCCCCTCCTCCCCCCTCCCATCTGCCCAGCATCCGATAAAAGTTTTTTTTTTCCCTTTTTTGACCTTTTGGTTGCATTGTATGTCTTTGCCTTTCCCTAGGGGAGGTTAGAGGTATTCCCTTCCCCCCACCCCCCCACAATGCTCGCCACAACCCTAAGATGTGTATCTCCTCCTCCCCCAAACCCTGGTGAGCACCACCACCATTTGAGCACCATAGTTTTAATCAGTCAGTACCAATCTGATGGCGAGTAGATGTGGAGCCCATTATCTTGATCTTGTGTCGCCTCACTTTGGATAACGGGCTTTTCCAAGAAACCAAAAACTTCCCTAGAAATCAGTGGTGTGCTGGTAAATCTTCAATTATTGACATTTTTGGGGAGAAGAAGAAGGAAGAAAATCCTGATTTTTAGCAGTTGCCAATTTCTGTATAAATTCTCCTACCATGTCTGGTTCCAACCTGCCAGCATGGCACTGCTGGCTGCGGAGCTGCAAGTCAACAGCACGCCGTTACTTAGGGCTTCTGCCAGACTGGCGCTGTAGATGTAAGTTCTCAAGAACACAGAGAATAGTAAACTCTTGTAAAATATTAGGAAATAATGAATTTTGCCTATTTATTGCCTTTTAAAATATATTTCTTTTTTTTTTTTAAGCCTCTAAACATTTGGCATAAAATATATTTCTTAAAATTACATGTTTATATAATTTTATATTTTTAAGTAATGAAAGTGTTTAACAACCAATGTGCAGAACTCCTGAACAATGGGCAGTCAGCTCTCATGGTCTGGTCTGAACTGGCCCCAGCACACCACTGCTAGAAACGCGTCAGCCAACTTCCACTTATGTCTCTTCAGCCAGGACAAAGTCGCATGGCCACCCCTGGCTAAAAGGGAGTCTGGGAAGGCGAGGAACTATTCTGGTCTCTATAATGGAATATGGCCAGGGAGACAAGGGGGCTGGGAGGGACAGCTGGGCCAGCCAACCTGCAGAGCCTACCATCAGCCCTACGCAAAGCCGTGCTGGACACTTGGAGCACAGCTCTGAGCTGGGTAGTTCCTGTGTCTGTTCTCACAGGGCTTTTATGCTAGTGGCAAGAGAGAGCTTTTAAAGAAAGAAGTATAACTGAGATGAAAGCAGAAAGGAGAAGTGCAGGATGCTGTGGCCATGTGTAATAGGAAGAGGACCTGGGCTAATATATCTATTTTTATTGTTAAGTAGCAAACAACTACAAACTTAGAAGCATAAAACCACACACACATTTCTTAACACGGTTTCCGTGAGCAGGAGGTTGAGCACATTTTAGCTGAGTCCTCTGCTGGGGTATCCTCTGCTTCACTCGACATGTCAGCTGAGTCCTCCTCTGAGGCTCAACTAGATTAGGATCCTTTTCTAAGTCCACCCAGGTTGTTGGCAGAATTCGTTTCTTTGGGGCTGCATGCCTGAGGGCCCAGCTGTTTGCTCGCTGCTACCTTCTACAGTTCCTTGCTAGCGCGGCCCCTCCAAAGGCCCTCTGTCGGCCTGGCAGCTCTCTTCTACAGAGCCTGCAAGAGGAGCCACTCCAGTCTGCTGCAGTAGAGAGACCACGCTAAGACATGCCGTGTAAGTGATATTCCGTCCCCTTTGCCACATTGATTAGAGGGGAGTTGGTAGGTCCAGCCCGCACTCAAGATCAGGGCACTCATATAAGGCATGGGCCATGGGGAGTCACTTTAGGGCATGGTTGCCACCGTTGTACTTGGTGAGTCTTGAAGGGTTAGTTGGAGCTGGCCAGGTACAGGGATGAGAGCATGTCAGCAGACTGGGGCACTGGGGGTGGTTGTTGTGCAGAGGCCTGAAGCTTGGAAACCTCTCACTCACTGAGGTTTTCTTTTCTCACTCCCTGAGTACATCCCCAGACCACGGTGGGGCCCCGGCTGGGGAGGGGTAGGGAAGCTTCTCACATCCATGGAGGAACTTATGTCCCCATTGGGCAAATCAGATTAGGGGCTAGGCTTTTTTCAGTGGGGTGTGTGTGAGAGTGCAGGTGTGAAAGTGTAGGTGTGAGAGTGCGGGTGTGAGAGTGCAGGTGTGAGAGTATAGGTATGAGAATGCATGTGCAAGACTGCAGGTGTGTGTGTGAGAGTGCAGGTGTGAGAGTGCGGGTGTGAGAGTGCTGGTGTGAGAGTATAGGTATGAGAATGCATGTGCAAGACTGCAGGTGTGTGTGTGAGAGTGCAGGTGTGAGGTACAGGTGTGTGTGTGAGAGTGCAGGTGTGTGTGTGAGAGTGCAGGTGTGTGTGTGAGAGTGTAGGTGTGAGAGTGCAGGTGTGAGAGTGCAGGTGAGAGAGTGCAGGTGAGAGAGTGCATGTGGGAGAGTGCAGGTGTGTGTGAGAGTGCAGGTGTGAGAGTGCAGGTGTGAGAGTACAGGTGTGTGTGTGAGAGTGCAGGTGTGAGAGTGTAGGTGTGTGTGAGTGCAGGTGAGAGAGTGCAGGTGTGAGAGTGTAGGTGTGTGTGTGAGAGTGCAGGTGAGAGAGTGCAGGTGTGAGAGTACAGGTGTGTGTGTGAGAGTGCAGGTGAGAGAGTGCAGGGGTGTGTGTGAGAGTGCAGGTGTGTGTGAGAATGCTGGTGTGAGTGCAGGTGTGAGAGTGCAGGTGTGTGTGTGAGAGTGTAGGTGTGTGTGAGTGCAGGTGAGAGAGTACAGATGTGTGTGTGAGAGTGCAGGTGTGTATGTGAGAGTGCAGGTGTGTGTGTGAGAGTGCAGGTGTGAGAGTGCAGGTGAGAGAGTGCAGGCGTGTGTATGAGAGTGCAGGTGTATGTGTGAGAATGCTGGTGTGAGAGTGCAGATGTGAGAGTGTAGGTGTGTGTGTGTGAGAGTGCGGGTGTGAGAGTGCAGGTGTGAGAGTGCGGGTGTGAGAGTGCTGGTGTGAGAGTATAGGTATGAGAATGCATGTGCAAGACTGCAGGTGTGTGTGTGAGGATGCAAGGTGTGAGGTACAGGTGTGTGTGTGAGAGTGCAGGTGTATGTGTGAGAGTGCAGGTGTGAGAGTGCAGGTGTGTGTGTGAGAGTGCAGGTGAGAGAGTGTAGGGGTGTGTGTGAGAGTGCAGGTGTGTGTGTGAGAGTGCAGGTGTGTGTGACAGTGCTGGTGTGAGAACTGCAGGTGTGTGTGTGAGAGTGCAGGTGTGAGAGTGCATGTGCAAGAGTGCAGGTGTGTGTGTGAGAGTGCAGGTGTGAGAGTGCATGTGCAAGAGTGCAGTGTGCCGCGCTGGCGCCCGCCCCCGCGCTTTGCTGTAGATCGCAGGTTGGCGAGTGCATGTGCAAACGAGTCGCCAGTGGTCGCTGTGAGACGTGCAGGTGTGTGTATGGAGTTCGACTTGCAGGTGTGAGAGTACAGGTGTGTGTGTGACAGTGCTGGTGTGAGAGTGCAGGTGTGAGAGTACAGGTGTGTGTGTGACAGTGCTGGTGTGAGAGTGCAGGTGTGTGTGTGAGAGTGCAGGTGTGAGAGTGCATGTGCAAGAGTGCAGGTGTGTGTGTGAGAGTGCAGGTGTGTGTGTGAGAGTGCAGGTGTGAGAGTGCATGTGTGTGTGTGAGAGTGCATGTGTGTGTGTGAGAGTACAGGTGTGTGTGTGAGAGTGTAGGTGTGAGAGTGCAGGGGTGTGTGTGTTTGTGTATCTGAGAGAGAGAGAGAGAGGAGATGGGGTTGGGGTCTGCCCCAGCCACCGTGAAGACCTTACCTTACCTGTTTACCCATCCACTCCACTACACGCCCGTGTGACTCTGGGGTGTCAGGTCTTGTTCTGGGGCACGGAAGTGAACCAGAGGGGACCCTGCCTTGTCCCCGAGAGGCCACACTTCGCCAGGGAGAGAGCCACTCAGAACACTCCAGCTGCAGCTGCAACCCGGGTGGCTCTGAGAGCCCTGGGAGGGCAGAGGGTAGTGTCAGAGGGCGGGAAGGACTGGGTGATTTGATATTCTCACCTGAGCAGCTGTGGGGCCGGGGACTGTGCACTGAGAGGGCGGAGCACGTGGGTGGGCAGGTTGGGGCCCTGGTAAAGCACTGCGTTTGGAGGCGAGAAGTCTGGCCTGGCCCTGGCCCTCCGGGACCTGGCAGGCACAGAGGGGAGGCTTCCAGCCTGGCAGAGCCCGGATTCCCGGGAGCGGATAGAAGGGGTCGCCGGGCAGAGAGGCGGGCGGCGCAGCTAGTGAAGCAGACAGACGCCCAGAGCGCGGGGCACAGGGTGCAAGAAGCTTGAGTAAGATGAAGACAGGTTTTACAGAAGACTGGTACCAATCTCGGATACGTCGGGGTGACAGGAGGGGAGAGGAGGGCATTTCAGGTGGGGAACAGCAAAAACACAGACGCTCTGGGGCAAGAAAGGGAACCGGTCCGCACTCGCTCCTGGCTCCTCGATCGTGCACTGAAGCGAGCACAGAAGCCCTGGCCCCGCGTGACCAAGCGTGCCGCCTCCCCGCCCTAAGGCGCCGCGCCTGGGTGCCGCAGAAAGTCCGCCAGCGACAGACAGGGGCCGGCGAATGGGACTTCCCTGGCTTCGGGCGGCAGGTGAGCTCGCTCCTGGGGCCTCAGTTTCCCTTTGCCTCTCGCTCCGCGCCCTGACAGAGACAAACCTGAGTTCTGGCTTTGGGACGAGCACGGCCTGCCGAACGACTCGCAAGCGACGTCAGG